GCGGTCGGGGGGGCCCCCCGGGCACCTCCTCGGGCAGCCTTCCTAAGGCGAACGAGTCCGAAGAACGCCACTCGGACCGCACAGTTCGGGCTGTGGGCCATGACACTGTTCAGGCACGACGCACGTCCGGCTACGGCAAACAAGGCATTCGACGAACTTGGCATTTAACGATTCTACGGGACTTCGACATGCCTCGTAATGCCTACGGAGTCCCGTCAGGCAACAGGCCTTGGACTAGCCGCCTCTTGAAGGCGCACGGGTCCGGCACGAAACAGGCTTAAAAAATTACCTTGACTCGCCTCTAATGCGTGCGGGAGTCCGGCCACGGCAAACGAAGGCCCCTGACGTGCTCCACTGGGTGGTGGTTACTCGTTAGCGCATGCAGGACGTCGCGCAAACAGGCAACGAGAATCGACGACGAGGGTAACTCTGTGATACTCGAGCTGCGTCGTAATCGTCGTCCCGGAGTCCGCGCGCCACGGGCCCCTGCTTCCCTTCCCGGACTTTACCGTGGTGTTCTAGGCGCGTGCAAATCCGTGCTAGGCAAATGAAGGCCGTCGACGGAGAAGCCACACCGCTCGGCACAGGGACGGCGTCGCCGGGCCTTTGTCGATTCTTCGTCGTTTGTCCAGCCCGACACTTCCTCTCCGCCGCGCCACCGCCGTCCTCCGGGCCGGCCCTTCGCTTTCGCAACGAATGCCTCTTAAGAATTCGCATTCTTAATCGATCGGAGTGACTAAACGAAGCCTACGCAACCAATCGCATTGGCATTTATTGAATTTATTATTTTCAGAAACGAATCTCAACTTGTCCGAAAAGTAATTTTGCGTACCGAGGCAGGGCGCGACGCCGCTTACAGCAGCTAAGGGCCAACGAAGCTACCGCACTTACCTGCGAAGGCGCATTGCGGAGTCCGGCTACAGTAACGGCCTTCCAAACAGTTGGGCAGGTGTCCAGGCCATTCAGGCTGATCACGCCCTACGGCAACGAAGGCATTCGACGAACTTGGCGTTTAGCGATTCTGCAGGACTTCGCATGCCCACCTGCGCTTACAGGACCCGGGTCGACAAACGAAGGCTTTACGGGACTTACCACATGCCTCTTAAGCGCATTACAGGAGCCGCCCGGTAAACAAGGCCTCCTAAATTCCACGACTTACCTTCCTAAACGCATTCAGGGAGTCCGGCTACGGTAAACGAAAGGCCGTCCAGACTGAGCCTTGACTGATGGCCCGGCACGTTCAGGCGACGCACGTCCGGCTTTCAGCGACAAGCGCTCATTCAGGACGTCATTCGTTACGGGACTACGGCCATCGTAATGCGCATTACGATCGGGAGCAGCGGAGGCCTACACTTTCCCTTCCAGGGACTTTCGCACGTGGTGCCATAAAGCGCAGTGCGGATCCGGCTAACACAATAGGCCGTCGAATCGCTCTTGCACCCAGAGTACCGCTTCGCCTACCATTCGCCCGTCGTCGTCGTGTCGTCACGGCGCCCTTCCGCCCGCCACCGGCCCCGTCCGGCCGCTCTCCTTTCGTCTTTAGAACGAATGCGGTTCGGTAACAAGGCCGCTTTCAAATTTCCTGTGTCAGCAACTATACAGCTTAAATCAAGGCACGACAATCAATAGGTTAGATTTGTTGAATTGTATTTTTGAATTTTCCCAACGAATCTACTTCGTCCGAAGTAATTTCGCCGAACGGCCTGCCGGCGACGACGCCGTCCGGCTTGCAAACGAAGGCCGCTCTGTAGACTACCACTTCCCTTTGGCGCATTCGGAGGCCATCACGGACGGCACCGGAACTGCCCGGTTGGTCCCATGACCACTGTTCAGGCCGCCCCCTTCGCTACGCAAACGAGGCTTGCCGAACTTAGGCATTTACGATTACGGACTTACGATCTCGTAATGCGCAGACAACTCGGCAAGCAAGGCCTTCTACGGCTACGAGCCTCTTAAGGCCATTCAGGGTCCGCTACGTAACAGGCCTGACAAAAGTACGCAATGCTCGAGTCTGTTGCAGTCCTTCGTTCGCGGACGCCGTACTCCCGAAATGCGCATTACGAGTAAAATGCGCGAGTCCGTTGCAGTCCTTCGTTCGCGGTCGCCGTACGCCCGAAATGCGCATTACGAGTTAAATGCGCGAGTCCGTTGCAGTCCTTCGTTCGCGGTCGCCGTACGCCCGAAACGCACATTACGAGTTAAAAGCGCGAGTCCGTTGCAGTTCTTCGTCCGCGGACACCGTATGTCCGAAATGCGCATTACGAGGTGAATGCGCTAGTCGGTTGCAGTCCTTCGTTCGCGGACGCCGTACGCACGAAACGCGCATTACGAGTTAAAAGCGCGAGTCCGTTGTAGTCCTTCGTCCGCGGTCGCCGTATGTCCGCAATGCGCATTACGAGGTAAATGCGCTAGTCAGTTGCAGTCCTTCGTCCGCGGTCGCCGTACTCCCGAAATGCGCATTACGAGGTAAATGCGCTAGTCAGTTGCAGTCCTTCGTCCGCGGTCGCCGTTCGCGGTCCCGTACTCCCGCAATGCGCATTACGAGGTAAATGCGCGAGTCCGTTGCAGTCCTTCGTTCGCGGTCGCCGTAGTCCTTCGTCCGGTCGAAATGCGCATTACGAGGTAAATGCGCGAGTCCGTTGCAGTCCTTCGTTCGCGGTCGCCGTACTCCCGAAATGCGCATTACGAGGTAAATGCGCGAGTCCGTTGCAGTCCTTCGTTCGCGGTCGCCGTACTCCCGAAATGCGCATTACGAGGTAAATGCGCGAGTCCGTTGCAGTCCTTCGTTCGCGGTCGCCGTACTCCCGAAATGCGCATTACGAGGTAAATGCGCGAGTCCGTTGCAGTCCTTCGTTCGCGGTCGCCGTACTCCCGAAATGCGCATTACGAGGTAAATGCGCGAGTCCGTTGCAGTCCTTCGTTCGCGGTCGCCGTACTCCCGAAATGCGCATTACGAGGTAAATGCGCGAGTCCGTTGCAGTCCTTCGTTCGCGGTCGCCGTACTCCCGAAATCGTTAAATGCGCGGTCGCCGTCCTTCGTTCCGCGGTCGCCCCGAAATGCGCATTACGAGGTAAATGCGCGAGTCCGTTGCAGTCCTTCCTCCGCGGTCGCGAGTCCGTAGTCCTTTCGTCCGCGGTCGCCGTACTCCCGAAATGCGCATTACGAGGTAAATGCGCGAGTCCGAGTCCTTCCGCGGTCGCCGTACTCCCGAAATGCGCATTACGAGGTAAATGCGCGAGTCCGCGGTCGCGGTCGCCGTACTCCCGAAATGCGCATTACGAGGTAAATGCGCGAGTCCGAGTCCTTCCTCCGCGGTCGCCGTCCCGAAATGCGCATTACGAGGTAAATCCGAGTTTGCAGTCCTTCCTCCGCGGTCGCCGTACTCCCGAAATGCGCATTACGAGGTAAATGCGCGAGTCCGTTGCAGTCCTTCGTCCGCGGTCGCCGTACTCCCGAAATGCGCATTACGAGGTAAATGCGCGAGTCCGTTGCAGTCCTTCGTCCGCGGTCGCCGTACTCCCGAAATGCGCATTACGAGGTAAATGCGCGAGTCCGTTGCAGTCCTTCGTCCGCGGTCGCCGTACTCCCGAAATGCGCATTACGAGGTAAATGCGCGAGTCCGTTGCAGTCCTTCCTCCGCGGTCGCCGTACTCCCGAAATGCGCATTACGAGGTAAATGCGCGAGCGCGAGTCGCGGTTGCACCGAAATCCTTCGAGTTAAATCGCGAGTCCGTTCGTCCTTCGTTCCGCGGTCGCCGTACTCCCGAAATGCGCATTACGAGGTAAATGCGCGAGTCCGTTGCAGTCCTTCCTCCGCGGTCGCCGTACTCCCGAAATGCGCATTACGAGGTAAATGCGCGAGTCCGTTGCAGTCCTTCGTCCGCGGTCGCCGTACTCCCGAAATGCGCATTACGAGGTAAATGCGCGAGTCCGTTGCAGTCCTTCGTCCGCGGTCGCCGTACTCCCGAAATGCGCATTACGAGGTAAATGCGCGAGTCCGTTGCAGTCCTTCCTCCGCGGTCGCCGTACTCCCGAAATGCGCATTACGAGGTAAATGCGCGAGTCCGTTGCAGTCCTTCGTCCGCGGTCGCCGTACTCCCGAAATGCGCATTACGAGGTCCGCGGAGTCCGTTGCAGCCGCGGTCGCCGTACTCCCGAAATGCGCATTACGAGGTAAATGCGCGAGTCCGTTGCAGTCCTTCCAGTCCTTCGTCCGCGGTCGCCGTACTCCCGAAATGCGCATTACGAGGTAAATGCGCGAGTCCGTTGCAGTCCGTTCCGCGGTCGCCGTTCGAAATGCGCATTACGAGGTAAATCGCCGTTGCACTCCTTCCTCCGCGGTCGCCGTACTCCCGAAATGCGCATTACGAGGTAAATGCGCGAGTCCGTTGCAGTCATTCGTTCGCGGTCGCCGTACTCCCGAAATGCGCATTACGAGGTAAATGCGGTCGCGAGTCCGTTGCAGTCCTTCGTTCCGCGGTCGCCGTACTCCCGAAATGCGCATTACGAGGTAAATGCGCGAGTCCGTTGCAGTCCTTCGTCCGCGGTCGCCGTACTCCGAAATGCGCATTACGAGGTAAATGCGCGAGTCCGTTGCAGTCCTTCGTCCGCGGTCGCCGTACTCCCGAAATGCGCATTACGAGGTAAATGCGCGAGTCCGTTGCAGTCCTTCCTTCGTTCGAAATGCGCGGTCGCCGTCGAGTAAATGCGCGGTCGTTGCAGTCCTCCCGAAATGCGCATTACGAGGTAAATGCGCGAGTCCGTTGCAGTCCTTCGTCCGCGGTCGCCGTACTCCCGAAATGCGCATTACGAGGTAAATGCGCGAGTCCGTTGCAGTCCTTCGTCCGCGGTCGCCGTACTCCCGAAATGCGCATTACGAGGTAAATGCGCGAGTCCGTTGCAGTCCTTCGTCCGCGGTCGCCGTACTCCCGAAATGCGCATTACGAGGTAAATGCGCGAGTCCGTTGCAGTCCTTCGTCCGCGGTCGCCGTACTCCTGAAATGCGCATTACGAGGTAAATGCGCGAGCGCGAGTCCTTCGTCCGCGGTCCGTCCCGAAATGCGCATTACAGAGTCCCTTCCTCCGCGGTCGCCGTACTCCCGAAATGCGCATTACGAGGTAAATGCGCGAGTCCGTTGCAGTCCTTCGTCCGCGGTCGCCGTACTCCCGAAATGCGCATTACGAGGTAAATGCGCGAGTCCGTTGCAGTCCTTCCTCCGCGGTCGCCGTACTCCCGAAATGCGCATTACGAGGTAAATGCGCGAGTCCGTTGCAGTCCTTCGTCCGCGGTCGCCGTACTCCCGAAATGCGCATTACGAGGTAAATGCGCGAGTCCGTTGCAGTCCTTCCTCCGCGGTCGCCGTACTCCCGAAATGCGCATTACGAGGTAAATGCGCGAGTCCGTTGCAGTCCTTCGTCCGCGGTCGCCGTACTCCCGAAATGCGCATTACGAGGTAAATGCGCGAGTCCGTTGCAGTCCTTCGTCCGCGGTCGCCGTACTCCCGAAATGCGCATTACGAGGTAAATGCGCGAGTCCGTTGCAGTCCTTCGTCCGCGGTCGCCGTACTCCCGAAATGCGCATTACGAGGTAAATGCGCGAGTCCGTTGCAGTCCTTCGTCCGCGGTCGCCGTACTCCCGAAATGCGCATTACGAGGTAAATGCGCGAGTCCGTTGCAGTCCTTCGTCCGCGGTCGCCGTACTCCCGAAATGCGCATTACGAGGTAAAAATCGCGGTCGCCATTCCCGAAATGCGCATTACGAGGTTAAATGCGCGAGTCCGTTGCAGTCCTTCCTCCGCGGTCGCCGTACTCCCGAAATGCGCATTACGAGGTAAATGCGAGCGAGTCCGTTCGCGGTGCCAGAAATCCATTCGTCCGCGGTCGCCGTCCGCTCGCCCCGAAATGCGCATTACGAGGTAAATGCGCGAGTCCGTTGCAGTCCTTCGTCCGCGGTCGCCGTACTCCCGAAATGCGCATTACGAGGTAAATGCGCGAGTCCGTTGCAGTCCTTCGTCCGCGGTCGCCGTACTCCCGAAATGCGCATTACGAGGTAAATGCGCGAGTCCGTTGCAGTCCTTCGTCCGCGGTCGCCGTACTCCCGAAATGCGCATTACGAGGTAAATGCGCGAGTCCGTTGCAGTCCTTCGTCCGCGGTCGCCGTACTCCCGAAATGCGCATTACGAGGTAAATGCGCGAGTCCGTTGCAGTCCTTCGTCCGCGGCGAGTCCTTCGTCCGCGGTCGCCGTACTCCCGAAATGCGCATTACGAGGTTAAATGCGCGGTCGTTGCAGTCCTTCGTCCGCGGTCGCCATACTCCCGAAATGCGCATTACGAGGTAAATGCGCGAGTCCGTTGCAGTCCTTCGTTCGCGGTCGCCGTACTCCCGAAATGCGCATTACGAGGTAAATGCGCGAGTCCGTTGCAGTCCTTCCTCCGCGGTCGCCGTACTCCCGAAATGCGCATTACGAGGTAAATGCGCGAGTCCGTTGCAGTCCTTCGTCCGGTTCCTCGAAATGCGCGGTCGTCCGTGCAGTCCTTCTCCCGAAATGCGCATTACGAGGTAAATGCGCGAGTCCGTTGCAGTCCTTCGTCCGCGGTCGCCGTACTCCCGAAATGCGCATTACGAGGTAAATGCGCGAGTCCGTTGCAGTCCTTCGTCCGCGGTCGCCGTACTCCCGAAATGCGCATTACGAGGTAAATGCGCGAATCCTTCCTCCGCGGTCGCCGTACTCCCTGAAATGCGCATTACGAGGTAAATGCGCTAGTCAGTTGCAGTCCTTCGTCCGCGGTCGCCGTACTCCCGAAATGCGCATTACGAGGTAAATGCGCGAGTCCGTTGCAGTCCTTCGTCCGCGGTCGCCGTACTCCCGAAATGCGCATTACGAGGTAAATGCGCGAGTCCGTTGCAGTCCTTCGTTCGCGGTCGCCGTACTCCCGAAATGCGCATTACGAGGTAAATGCGCGAGTCCGTTGCAGTCCTTCGTCCGCGTTCGCCGTACTCCCGAAATGCGCATTACGAGGTAAATGCGCGAGTCCGTTGCAGTCCTTCGTCCGCGGTCGCCGTACTCCCGAAATGCGAGGTAAATGCGTCGAGTCGAGGTAAATGCGCGTCCGTCTTCGTCCGCGGTCGCCGTTGAAATGCGCATTACGAGGTAAATCCGAGTTCAGTCCTTCGTTCGCGGTCGCCGTACTCCCGAAATGCGCATTACGAGGTAAATGCGCGAGTCCGTTGCAGTCCTTCGTCCGCGGTCGCCGTACTCCCGAAATGCGCATTACGAGGTAAATGTCGTTGCAGTCCTTCGTCCGCGGTCGCCGTCCGAAATGCGAAATGCGCATTACGAGGTAAATCCTTCTTCCGCGGTCGCCGTACTCCCGAAATGCGCATTACGAGGTAAATGCGCGAAGTCCATTACGAGTCCGAGTTCGTTTCGCGGTCGCCGTACTCCCGAAATGCGCATTACGAGGTAAATGCGCGAGTCCGTTGCAGTCCTTCGTCCGCGGTCGCCGTTGAAAATGCGCATTACGAGGTAAATGCGCGAGTCCGTTGCAGTCCTTCGTCCGCGGTCGCCGTACTCCCGAAATGCGCATTACGAGGTAAATGCGCGAGTCCGTTGCAGTCCTTCGTCCGCGGTCGCCGTACTCCCGAAATGCGCATTACGAGGTAAATGCGCGAGTCCGTTGCAGTCCTTCGTCCGCGGTCGCCGTACTCCCGAAATGCGCATTACGAGGTAAATGCGCGAGTCCGTTGCAGTCCTTCGTCCGCGGTCGCCGTACTCCCGAAATGCGCATTACGTAAAGGTAAATGCGCGAGTCCGTTGCAGTCCTTCGTCCGCGGTCGCCGTACTCCCGAAATGCGCATTACGAGGTAAATGCGCGAGTCCGTTGCAGTCCTTCGTCCGCGGTCGCCGTACTCCCGAAATGCGCATTACGAGGTAAATGCGCGAGTCCGTTGCGGTCGCCTTCCCGAAATCCGCGGTCGCCGGTCGCCGTACTCCCGAAATGCGCATTACGAGGTAAATGCGCGAGTCCGTTGCAGTCCTTCGTCCGCGGTCGCCGTACTCCCGAAATGCGCATTACGAGGTAAATGCGCGAGTCCGTTGCAGTCCTTCGTCCGCGGTCGCCGTACTCCCGAAATGCGCATTACGAGGTAAATGCGCGAGTCCGTTGCAGTCCTTCGTCCGCGGTCGCCGTACTCCCGAAATGCGCATTACGAGGTAAATGCGCGAGTCCGTTGCAGTCCTTCGTCCGCGGTCGCCGTACTCCCGAAATGCGCATTACGAGGTAAATGCGAGTCCGTTGCAGTCCTTCGTCCGCGGTCGCCGTACTCTCCCGAAATGCGCATTACGAGGTAAATGCGAGTCCGAGTCCGGTCGCAGAAATCGAGTCCGTTGATCCACGAGTCCTTCGTCCGCGGTCGCCGTACTCCCGAAATGCGCATTACGAGGTAAATGCGCGAGTCCGAGTCGGTCGTTTCCTGAAATGCGCATTACGAGGTAAATCCTTCCGTTGCAGTCCGTCCGCGGTCGCCGTACTCCCGAAATGCGCATTACGAGGTAAATGCGCGAGTCCGTTGCAGTCCTTCGTCCGCGGTCGCCGTACTCCCGAAATGCGCATTACGAGGTAAATGCGCGAGTCCGTTGCAGTCCTTCGTCCGCGGTCGCCGTACTCCCGAAATGCGCATTACGAGGTAAATGCGCGAGTCCGTTGCAGTCCTTCGTCCGCGGTCGCCGTACTCCCGAAATGCGCATTACGAGGTAAATGCGCGAGTCCGTTGCAGTCCTTCGTCCGCGGTCGCCGTACTCCCGAAATGCGCATTACGAGGTAAATGCGCGAGTCGCGGTTGCGAAGTCGCATTACGAGGTAAATGCGCGAGTCCGCGGTCGCCGTACTCCCGAAATGCGCATTACGAGGTAAATGCGCGAGTCCGTTGAGTCCGCGGTTGCAGAAATCCGAGGTAAATGCGCGAGTCCGTTGCAGTCCTTCCGCGGTCGCCGTACTCCCGAAATGCGCATTACGAGGTAAAGGTAAATGCGCGAGTCCGTTGCAGTCCTTCGTCCGCGGTCGCCGTACTCCCGAAATGCGCATTACGAGGTAAATGCGCGAGTCCGTTGCAGTCCTTCGTTCGCGGTCGCCGTACTCCCGAAATGCGCATTACGAGGTAAATGCGAGTCCGTTGCAGTCCTTCGTCCGCGGTCGCCGTACTCCCGAAATGCGCATTACGAGGTAAATGCGCGAGTCCGTTGCAGTCCTTCGTCCGCGGTCGCGGTCGCGAGGTTAAATGCGCGAGTCCGTTGCAGTCCTTCGTCCGCGAAATGCGCATTACGAGGTAAATGCGCGAGTCCGTTGCAGTCCTTCGTCCGCGGTCGCCGTACTCCCGAAATGCGCATTACGAGGTAACGAGTCCGTTAAGTCCTTCGTCCGCGGTCGCGCGAAAGCATTCCGTAAATGCGCGAGTCCGTTCAGTCCTTCGTTCCGCGGTCGCCGTACTCCCGAAATGCGCATTACGAGGTAAATGCGCGAGTCCGTTGCAGTCCTTCGTCCGCGGTCGCCGTACTCCCGAAATGCGCATTACGAGGTAAATGCGCGAGTCCGTTGCAGTCCTTCGTCCGCGGTCGCCGTACTCCCGAAATGCGCATTACGAGGTAAATGCGCGAGTCCGTTGCAGTCCTTCGTCCGCGGTCGCCGTACTCCCGAAATGCGCATTACGAGGTAAATGCGCGAGTCCGTTGCAGTCCTTCGTTCCGCGGTCGCCGTACTCCCGAAATGCGCGAAATGCGCAGTCCGAGTCCTTCGTCCGCGGTCGCCGAGTCCGAAATGCGCATTACGAGGTAAATGCGCGAGTCCGTTCAGTCCTTCCTCCGCGGTCGCCGTACTCCTGAAATGCGCATTACGAGGTAAATGCGCGAGTCCGTTGCAGTCCTTCCTCCGCGGTCGCCGTACTCCCGAAATGCGCATTACGAGGTAAATGCGCGAGTCCGTTGCAGTCCTTCGTCCGCGGTCGCCGTACTCCCGAAATGCGCATTACGAGGTAAATGCGCGAGTCCGTTGCAGTCCTTCCTCCGCGGTCGCCGTACTCCCGAAATGCGCATTACGAGGTAAATGCGCGAGTCCGTTGCAGTCCTTCGTTCGCGGTCGCCGTACTCCCGAAATGCGCATTACGGTAAATGCGCGAGTCCGTTGCAGTCCTTCCTCCGCGGTCGCCGTACTCCGAAAATGAAATGCGCATTACGAGGTAAATGCGCGAGTCCGTTGCAGTCCTTCGTCCGCGGTCGCCGTACTCCCGAAATGCGCATTACGAGGTAAATGCGCGAGTCCGTTGCAGTCCTTCCTCCGCGGTCGCCGTACTCCCGAAATGCGCATTACGAGGTAAATGCGCGAGTCCGTTGCAGTCCTTCCTCCGCGGTCGCCGTACTCCCGAAATGCGCATTACGAGGTAAATGCGCGAGTCCGTTGCAGTCCTTCCTCCGCGGTCGCCGTACTCCCGAAATGCGCATTACGAGGTAAATGCGCGAGTCCGTTGCAGTCCTTCGTTCGCGGTCGCCGTACTCCCGAAATGCGCATTACGAGGTAAATGCGCGAGTCCGAAATCCGCGGTCGCATTACGAAATGCGCATTACGAGGTAAATGCGCGAGTCCGTTGCAGTCCTTCGTCCGCGGTCGCCGTACTCCCGAAATGCGCATTACGAGTTAAAAAGTCCTTCCTCCGCGCGAAATGCGCATTACGAGGTAAATGCGCGAGTCCGTTGCAGTCAGTCCTTCCGTTGTCCGCGGTCGCCGTACTCCCGAAATGCGCATTACGAGTTAAATGCGCGAGTCCGTTGCAGTCCTTCCTCCGCGGTCGCCGTACTCCCGAAATGCGCATTACGAGGTAAATGCGCGAGTCAGTTGCAGTCCTTCGTCCGCGGTCGCCGTACTCCCGAAATGCGCATTACGAGGTAAATGCGCGAGTCCGTTGCAGTCCTTCCGTCCGCGGTCGCCGTACTCCCGAAATGCGCATTACGAGGTAAATGCGCGAGTCCGTTGCAGTCCTTCCTTCGCCGTCCGCGGTCGCCGTAAATGCTCGAGTCCGTTGAAATGCGCATTACGAGGTAAATGCGCGAGTCCGTTGCAGTCCTTCGTCCGCGGTCGCCGTACTCCCTGAAATGCGCATTACGAGGTAAATGCGCGAGTCCGTTGCAGTCCTTCGTTCCGCGGTCGCCGTACTCCTGAAATGCGCATTACGAGGTAAATGCGCGAGTCCGTTGAGTCTTCGTCCGCGGTCGCCGTCCCTGAAATGCGCATTACGAGGTAAATGCGCGGTCGTTGTAGTCCTTCTCCCGGTCGCCGTACTCCCGAAATGCGCATTACGAGGTAAATGCGCGAGTCCGTTGCAGTCCTTCCTCCGCGGTCGCCGTACTCCCGAAATGCGCATTACGAGGTAAATGCGCGAGTCCGTTGCAGTCCTTCCTCCGCGGTCGCCGTACTCCCGAAATGCGCATTACGAAATGCGCGATTACTCCGCGGTCGGTCCCGAAATGCGCATTACGAGGTAAATGCGAGTCCGTTGCAGTCCTTCCTCCGCGGTCGCCGTACTCCCGAAATGCGCATTACGAGGTAAATGCGCGAGTCCGTTGCAGTCCTTCGTTCGCGGTCGCCGTACTCCCGAAATGCGCATTACGAGTTAAATGCGCGAGTCCGTTGCATGCATCGTAATGCGCATCGGATCCGCTACCAACGGGAACGCCTCGCCTCCTTCCAGGACTTTAGCGTGGTGCCTCGTCAGGCGCAGTGCGGGGTCCGGCTACGCAAACGAGGCCGTCGACCGAATCGCCCCCACTTACGCGGCAGCAGGGTACCGGCTGTCGCCGTCTCTTTTGCTGTCTGTCGTCGTCGTCGCGTCCGAATTTCCCCCCCCAGGCCGTCCGTCGGCCACTCTCTCTTTTCAGTCTTTGCCAGACGAATCGGTTCGGTACAAATTTTGCAATTCCGGGGGCGACTACGAAAGCTCCTCGAAACATATTTGGCCTTGGATCCGTGTAACCACAACGATGTGCTGTTCCCCAAACCCCGAGGCACACGCCCCCAAAGGCAAACCAAAACCCAAAACCTTTAAGTTGGGA